GTGTGTGTGTGTGTGTGTGTGTGTGTGTGTGTGTGTGTGTGTGTGTGTGTGTGTGTTTGAATGTTCATTAGACAGCCATCCTTCGCCAGTACCCCCACCTCCCTTCCTACACCTAACCTGCCTGCAGAAACGATGTCTAAGCCTCACCTGCATAGCTGATGGCCTGACAACACAAAAACATCTCCAGTCCAAACTGTTTTTTTAATACAGGAAAGAGCTACTAAAACACAGATAACCCATTTCTGTCTGCAGGGAGGCGGAGGAGTCTACAAGCCATCACGCTGTTCCATCAAAGAACTTCCTGAGCTCACAGTGCAGTAATGTGCTTCTATACAAACACATTCCCCTCAGTGGTGAATGCTACACATACTGTGGTGTTTAGATGTTGACTAAACCCCAAAAATTTAACAAGGTATAAAAGTGTATAGTTATTACAGCAAAAATGTAACAAGTGTTGCCCGTGTCGTTTGTGTGCCTTGTTTGTCATGAAAACAACTCATGAACCACTGGATAAAAATGATTCCTTGATTCGTAATAGCTGGATGTATATCTACTTCTCTACAACAAACTAACTTTTGGATTCAGCCCAATTAAAGTTTGTCGCCTCAGCCAAATGAGCTTAAAAAGCCCTAATATGACTATAACTTCCCTAATTACTATAATTTAACAGTTTGAAGTTTGCTGTGGTAGTAGATGAGAGTCATTCACATCACATATTCCAAGTGCTACTCCTTGTATGAGAGCTTTACTTAAAACTTTAGCATTACAGTTGAAGCCAGCCCTGTTAGTCTGTTAGCTAAACTTTCTGACCAGTAACTGTCATGGCTAATATTAGCCAAAAACTGAGTTAATGTAAAATATATTGGGCTAAGATTCGATGTGGTAGTAGCTGACAGTCATTCATAGCACAGCGTTACAACTTGCAGTGTCACAAGAAATTGCACATACACATAAAACAAAATCTTGCAGTTATCCTACAATTTATTCATCTTATTTTTTATTCATGTAGACGAAGCTGAATTTCTTGAAAATAAAAATCTTTCTGATGAATGAAATACAGATATTTCATACTTTTATGCACCAACCAATAGTCTAAGACTTGTAATAAATTAAACACTACCCTGAACACATCTCATTTGATTATAATAAAAAAAACACATTAAATCAGGACCACACAACAAAAATACATGAGGATTAAATATCAGCAAAAATGTCCAAACCTACATAAACAGATCTACAAAACTCAGAACGTTTAATAACTCCTCGTCCCAAGGTGCAGATAAATCAGACTGACAAAGAGCTTCGGTGTCAAAACRCTTATTTCCTTTTATCTCTCACCACGCAGCAAACAGCCTCCGCGGAACCAGGTACACCACAACCACCAGTCACCATCTGCGTGACGTGCCAAGAGGAAACGTCAGGAACGGACCAATTAACGGGGCGATGACAGGGGCTAAAAGGCTGGATTAAAGGACTTGTTCTGTAAAGGTCAGGATGCACGCTGCTAATCTGAATCATGAGGCGAAGACAGGCTGACAGGAAGGGAGAAAAAACAAACGGCACGTCTCTGATGAATGATGATGGTGCGTGACAGTGGGATGTGCCGTGTCAGCCAGCAGGGTAGACCTGTGTGTAGAGCCAAGCGTAAAAACTCTACAGGTCAGAGGGCCCGTTTCTTTGTAGTGCACTGTATAAAGCCCACAGAATTAATGAGTTCTGTTTTTATTTATGGACTGAAATGATAAACTAAAGACCAAGGATTTGTTAAAGGAATGCATATCAGCCACCGCCTTTCATGCCAGAGTTTTACAATAAGATCATCTTATAATGAGAAAGGACAGTTTTAGTCAAAACTTTAAACTCTTGAGATGGACAATCTCATGTAATATTGGGAACTCTCACCCTCAGAGTACATATGTGTTAGGAATGACTTTCAGCTACCACATCAAGTTTTAGCTCAATATCTCAAACTGTGATAGAGTTATAGAGGTTTTGTGTTCTTCTACTTGAATGAGGTTCACTTCAAAGTTTTCCTAGTTTTAGATATACATCAGTGATAACTCTCTGCAAGTTTCATTAAAATGTGTCCAATGTCTCATAAGATATTTTGCTCACACACAGGTAAGTTTGTATTTATACCCTTATTAGAACTGTGTATTAACATCCTTTCATTTCTGTACCCTAATCCTGACCTACAAATATTGTTCCACCATATCAGAACCAGTCTTTTACTTCCCAAAAGGACTACTGGTCCTGACAACATGTTTACAACAGAAAAGGACCTAAAATGGTAACAAAAACCAGATACACATGCATACACAGAGTCACAGGTAACATTTTTGCCCACCACCAAAAAGTGACCAAATAACCATTTTTATATTTAATAACACCAAAAGGTAACAGACTGGATGAAAGGCAGTGCTATAGTGAATATAATGAATACTTTATGTGTGTAGGCAGGAAGTTGCTGTCAGAGATGTGCGCAAGTCTTTTTTTGCAAGTCCAAGTCAAGTTTCAAGTCTTTGGCTCCAAGTCCAAGTCAAGTCCAAGTTTTTGACCAAAAATCCAAGTCAAGTCTCAAGTCTCTTGGCCTCAAGTTCATGTCAAGTTGCATGTATTACTTAACTGGCAGTTTGATCAAAGGTATTAAGGTACTATACTAGATTTTGTTCTATAATACTATATTTTAACAAAATATTAAAACATAGTATTATGTTTTAATAATACTATTAAAATATAATAGTTTTAAAATACAGATAAGGTTAAGGTTGAAGTAACAAGCATTTAGAGTATTGTTAACTGTATTTTGCACTTGGTCTTACAAAAGCATATTGTAATTATATCTTGCCATTGACAAAGAACACATCCAACAAGTCTGCTGCTGATTTTACAATTAATACCAGAAAACATATTTTTAAATGGATAAAAGCATGTCAGCTAAGATGATGAACCAGAACTCTTAAAGTTAAAGGGCTGCACAAGTCATCACAAAAACAAATTTTTGATTTGGACACCACACACTTTGCATTTTGCCAGTCTCTTGTCATGGCATTAAATAAAGTCTCTGTAAGCAAAACTTATAATGAATGCCTGACATGCTGAAGCTCTGTTTATCACGTAGGGTACACGTCATTAACACTGGACGGCGCTGACCCCTCCCATTCTCAGATGAGGGGGAGCGGAGTGTATGGAAGAATTATTCTGACTTTAATCAAGAGTGTATATTTTCAGTTTGAGAGCAGGAGTAAATGTCTTTGCTCTTAAAACTTTATGTATTTGTTCTCAAAAGAGCGGAGCATGGATGTGTATTAGGGAGTGAGAATAGTGAGCCGGGCAGTGAAAAGACTTGTATTGTTCGCGAGTCTCAAACCACAAGTCCAAGTCAAGTCTAAGTCTCTAATAGTAGGGACTTAAGTGCGACTCAAGTCCAAGTTCGAGTCATGAGTCCCCATCTCTGGTTGCTGTGAATAAGAAATCATCCTCACGTTTTTCCAGGAGACTTCTTCAACCAGAATATGTCGTCACTGGTGATGCCGTGCTCCACCGCTCCGGGGATCTGCAGTAAAAACTAAAGCTGTGAACGAAACTAAAAAACAAAATGTGCCACGAACAGTAAACAAAACAGTTTCTTCTAAAACACACACACACACACACACACACACACACATATATATATATAGAGTATATAAATTCTTTTTTTTTGTCTAAGGCTTATGTGTGTTCCTCAGTTATTTGCATCAGTGCCTCCGCACAACGGTTATTTACATTTGCTGGATACTTGGGCCGTCCACCTGTGGCGATTATAATATTCTTGGCTGTCAGGATCGTCTGCAGGAGAAAAGGAAGGAAATGTCAGCTTGTGTTCATATCCATCAAAAACAAAGGAAATGTCAAATGACATCAAGTGGTCTCTACAGTACTCTTTGTGAAGACGATGACAGAAAAACTGTCAAGTTACAGCTCACAGCTAGTAAACATGTGCAGGACTTAATGGTTTGTGAGTATTTCAAGATGATGCAAAAAAAGGGGGACATAACGATTAAATGTTTTATTCACATCACTCAGTTCCTGTTAGAACTGTACTTTCCATGAGTTTTTGCCTCAGGTCTTCAAACTGTGGCTGCTGACAGTGAGGCAGAGAAAACCTGAGCTTTAAAGAGGCCACTTTAAATCTCACTGTGTTTAAAGACAGCGGCTGATGTGCTGCTCAGTTTGCCACACAAACCAAATAACCACATCTCCCTGTTTGTTGTTTAAGTAAAAACAGGTTTTTAAATCTGTCAGATAAAATAAATATTTGTTAATTGCAGTTTTTGCATGTGACTAAATAGAGCTTTTGCTAGGCGATGGCCCTCTTTTGCATGTGACCAACCTGTTTGTCCAGGTGGAGGCAGTGCTTATAAGGCTGAGTTCACCTGAAACTCATCAGACTGAAGAAGTCTCTTGGAGGAGAGACGAAACGTTTCACTAAAGAGAACCCATCCAGAGGACCTACTTATTTTTTCTTTTTGATTCAGGACATTGCAGTTAGTWGGTCAGAAGTTTAACTCTTAAAGTGGTAGTTGGCAGTCTGAGTTCAACTAATCAAAACATGTACTTCCTGTTGTTTTTTAAACACTTTCTCAAAGTATTGTAGAAAAAAATTAATGAGATATGGGAGGAGAACTTGCATCCTTACAGTTAAGAGCCCTCATAAGCAAATAGACAATTTGATCAAGTGTTACTGTAAGTTAGGGCTAAAAGAAAAAATGTTCTGATGTGGAAACATATTCTGTCCTGGTCCTGAACTGGACTTGCAACAAGTACAGGACACCCAATGCCTCCCACCCAGCATGAGCTGCTATCTCCAGCTCCTGTGATCAAACAGTACAGATTATAAAAGGGATTGAACATTTTAATATAAAAAATATATCATCATCATCATCATAATATCTTTATTCCAGACACAAAAAAGGTCCATAGGAAAAACAACAAGCAAAACAAGAAAGAGAGAGAGGAAAAAAAGACGTTATTCACTGAGTCACAAATAGATGATGACGCCAATGATTCCATAATCTTGAAGAAAATCTCACTGTGCTAAAAACAGGATTTATTAAAATTACAATTATATTTTTGCATGACTGATAATCTACACATGCATTTGTACATTAGATTCCTAAGCACATCAGCTGCACATGTGGGAACAGCATTATGTACAAACATATTGCTAGCACTACTCCATCTAGGCACTCTGAGTAGTAGCCTCATGCCATCATTGTATGCCACATAAATTTTCTGCAGGCTACTTTTTTTGTATCGTCGCCACAGATGGGCAGTGTAAAGTGAAGTGCAAAAAGCTTTAAAAAGAGCTATCTTCACAGAGGATGAACACATACCAAACTTTCTGATCAGAATATTAGCTTGTGCATACATCATACGCGATCATCAGATAGGTCATCATTTATGTAATGTCCCAAATATTTAACTTCATTGCATATATTGAGGACAATGCCAGATAAAGAGAAGTCAGGGATTTCCAGATGCTTATCTGCCCTACTTCTAACAATCATAATATTGCTTTTCTTAGCGTTGTATTTGATATCAAAATCATAACCATATTGGGAACAGACCCTCAATAATTGTTGAAGGCCAGCACTATATGGGCATAAGATTACCAAATCATCTGCATACATTATGTGATTGATTATACGGTCACCAACTACACAGCCTGTTTTACAGCAATTCAGGTGCTTTGATAGTTCATCCATGTAGATGTTAAAAAGGTAAGGGGACAGTAAACTTCCCTGCCTTACTCCGTTACCAACATTAAATGAAGTTGACATTGTATTACCCCATTTGATATACATTGATTGATGCCCATGCCATTAGACAAAAATTCTTATTAGATATTTGGGAACACCTCTGCTTTCTAATTTGCAGAACAATTTTTGATGATTCACACGATCAAATGCTTCAGAGGCATCAATAAAACACAAATACTGTGGTGCTGTGCAAATTATACAAGTCTAAAATCTCCTTTAGTACAAAAATACACATGTCTGTGCTATCTTTAGGTTTAAAACCAAATTGATTATCTGAGGTCAAGACAAACTCTTCCAGCCCATTTAATAGGATTCTTTCTAAAACTTTTGGCAAACTACTAGCTAAAGCTATTGGTCGGTAGTTCTCCGAGGAACTAATCTTACCAGCTTTGTCCTTAATAATGGGTACCAGTACGACAGATAACATTGAATTAGGTAAGAGACCATGTACTAAAAATCCAGTAAAACACATAGAAAGTAATGAACAAACTTTCTTGCTTGCATTTTTCAGATGCTCAGTGGAAATGTTATCCATCCCACTGGGCTTGGTGTCTTTCAGTGTCATAATTGCATCATATATTTCTTGTGGGGATACATTCACATTCTCATTACTGTGAATGCCTCTGAAGACAAAAAAGTGTCACTTTTGACACAATTAAACAGTGCACTGTAATGCTTCCGCCATAACTGACTGATTTCTTTTACATCACTAACACCATCAATAGCAGCTGGTAGTGAGGTTTTACAGTCATTTTTTTTTTAATTTCTTCCCAAAAGTCTTTAACATTATTATTTCTTAACTTTCTAGCAGGAGAGTCAGACCTCATAGTATTTTCATTTCTCCTTATAAATCTTAAAACATATTTAAAATTAGGATTTGCCTGTTTTAATCTACTAAATCTAATCTTCTAAAATAACTAATATTTAAGGTCTTTCACATAAACATTCATGTTCCAATAAGAAAAACTTCCCACCTCTTTTCCTGCTTTGCTCACTCCTCTAACTGTGTGTTCATCCACCAGACTGCCTTTCAGGTTCAGGTATTTCACATTCCTGCAAATATACAAAACAAAGTCCTACATCCTACAAATGTGTTGTAAAAACATTTTACTCAAAATAACCCAAAACAGTGGCTGTGCCACTGTTTGTGTGTGAAAATGAGAGAAGATCTTTTGTTACTCACTTGTCCTGCAGCTGGACTCTGTGACCCCAGTTTAAAGACTTGACGTGGTTTTGGACAGCCTCTGCCATGGTGGTCCTGAAAAACACCCCCACAGTTACATTAAACACTCACCACACCCATGCTTTTTAAACACATTGATTCCACAAAGACAATTTGATTCACTTTTGGTTTCTAGATAAACTAATATATAT